ATGAATCAGTGTATTAGTCTATCAATAGAAACAATATAAACAGAAAGCCATAAGACGTGATAAATAAATGGATGGAGATTAGAAGACATGATTAATGTGCCTCACCTTGAAGTCATTGAGCTTATGAGTGGAGGAGTAGAGCTCCAGACTGCTGGCTGACAGCTGGTTAGAGGGTTAGAGCCAGGGTGTTAGTGAGACAGGTTAACAGCAGGGAAGAAGGGACTGTGTGAAGAAACAAAACCTGAACCCCAGAACACAAACAAACCTAAAATAATTGATTCTATCTTGTGGTTAGCTGCAGTAAGAAGGTCGAAAATGTTACAGTTAAGAGAGGACAGTTGAATATTGGAAACACTAAAGATGACAGTTTAAATGTTTTTTATTAACGCTCCCATGACCCCAGTGGGATGTCTCTGTGTTCACAGGATCCATGGTTTCAGCTAATATTACCACCTGATGAAGGTCAAACTCCTGAAATATTAATGTGATGTCTGGGTCACTTAAGAAAAAACAACTCTCTTACCCGGTTGATGATTGGGGAGCTCAGGCAGCGTCTGGGAGATTTCCCTTTGACTGCCAGCTGTTCCCTCACAGCCACCTCCTACACACACACACACAAATGTGTTTTGTAAGCATTTCTAATTGTGTGATTTATGGAAACACTATCACTTAGTGTCTTTATTTGGATGCTTTGTATTATGTGGATTAATTAGCTCTATCTGTTTTCTTTTTTGGCAGGGTAGAAAGGAAAATGTTCCAATTCTGGCTCCAGATGACATTTTCCTAAATTGCGTAAAGAGTGAAAAAGACAATGAGGATTTTATGTGCTCACGCTTCGAAGAAATATCAATCAAAGCAACACGGTTAAATGAGAGACTGGTCAGACATTTAGGTATTCTGAGTGAACTAAATGAGGCTGAATACCAAGTGATTTAATGTGGTTTTAATGTTTGAAGAGGAGATTCACGTCTCAGTTGTTCATGAAGAGTATTTCCTAACCTGTCTGAGTCTGTCCAGAGTGAGGATGTTCTCCACAGCCAGGACGCTGCGGAGGTATTTCTCTATGGCCGCCTCGCTGTCAGCTGATTGGTCGTCCTCGGTGCTGGCAGCCAGCCTGGCCAACATCTCCCTGTCCTCTGGACCGTGGATGTCCTGTGGGAGCAGGGGGACGGACTGTAAGGGGGCAGGGTGCTACTTTATGTGCTTAATGCCAGCTCTTGAGTCACCCTGCTGGGCTTTCATCTGTTTACATTATCTTTTGCAAGTTGCCACTGCTGACATGATAGAATCTATGAGCTGTGTTGTAGTGGAAATGTAATTACAGCAAAACAAACAGTGCAGAACAGCACACTCAGAATTCTTCTCTGGTCAGTTATTTAGAAAACACAGACCACAGAACATAGCCACCCAGTGTTAAATATTCAACAATGTAGAAGGCCTACATACATAAAACAGTTTGACCACATGCATCCTATCTAATCATTTTGATGTATTACACATGATACAAATTTCCATGGATAATCACACTCTAATTCTGAAAGTTCAGAGGTCAATTTCTAGACATTGTGGTTTGATTCAGCTTCCTTTGTTTTTCTGAACATTTTAACCCACTGCTGAAAACAAATTACGAACACGTTGTGTTTTTAACTTTAACCTGTGAGGCTAATAGTTATGCTATGACTCAGCACACCGTGGTGCATTGCTGTCGCATGGTTTTCATTAACATGGGCAACATTATGGAGTTCTATATAGAAGTAATATAAAGCATTAAAAAAATACATTTGTATATTATAGTCGCTAACCACCATTTTACATATTGATGACTTCCAGCTGTCAGAACAAGACGTCGTTCTTCTGCATAAAAGAAGTAACTGCAGCATTATTTTCCAGTCTACTAATTTGTTTACTAGTCAAGCAGACTGTAATGTAACAACAAACTGATGGATGTGTCAGTAGAGGTCTGCTCTATTCTACTCCTCTTCAGTTTTTTTATTAAACAAATATGCAGTTGCAGACATATCTTTCTTTAACCCTCAGACCCCCGAGGCTTACTGTCATATCTCACAGGTGCTTTACTCTATCATTCCAGCTGTTTCATTACTTTGTCAATCAATGTGTTCCTAAAGACTTGATGCTTTTTAAAAATAGCAATGACCCCAGTCAAAAGCACCCAATTCCACCTATGCAGTGAACTACTTATTGAGTTCAGGTTTGCCACAGGCCCTAATTTAAAGAATTATATACTCAGTCACTTTGAAAGAGACAGACACAGATTTCCTCATGTGCTCCGTGGACCACCTGAAATACTGATCTTTCTAAGGTAAGGTTCAAAGTCAGACATACAATACATAATTTCATGATAAAATGTTTTATGACGTAAATGTTTATATCCTATTATACAAGATAAGGACATGGTGTGAGTGCGGGAACAACCACAAATGTAACCATTTTTGAGGCTTCAGAGGCAGAGATTAATAGCAGAAAGAAATAGAAAGAAATAATAACCCTTCCCTAAAATGGTTGTTTCTTACAGTAGTGTATTATTGGGGTCCACAGGAACACGTCGGATGAGGGTGAATTTGTCCAGTGACAAAATGAAAACTGAGTTTTATTTTAATTTCTTTCTAACAAATACCTCTGTGGTCCGGTACTTACCCCTGGGATGTTAGAAACGATTTCAAAGGTGACTCCACAGCCGGGGATGGTGCTGCGCTGAGACATCCTCTTCAGCAGACTCTGAGCAAAACCCTGTCACACCAACACACACAACCACATGTTCTCAAATCTCTTCATCGGTGGCCATGTGCTTATGTAAGGGAGAGAGCAAACGTGTCATTGTGTCAGCTTGCTCCTGCCCATCATGCCTCGGGGGGAGTTGGCACCCACCTGTCTCCCAGTGACATTGACACAGATGCGTTTCCTGAGTAGCAGCTGCATGTGGGCCGGGTGGCTCAGCTGAACCACCGCATTGACCGTCAGGTAGACCCTCTGGTCAGCCGATGTCACGCGACTCAGCTGGGGGCACTCGTGGACCGTCGAGTCCCAGGAGGCCTCCACCTTCACCTGGACCACGTAGGAAAGCACGGAGAATAAACGGCTCCATCCAGCCGTGTAGGTGGTAAACTGACACTCTGAATATCAATCTTACCTCTGGATCGTAGTGTTTAACAATATGAAGGTCAAATAAGTCGTCGTCATCCTCCCCACTGAGTAGTGCATCCAACCCCCCGGCCAATGGGGCTGAAAGATTGGACTGGAAATCATCAGCTAAAGTGGAAAAAAGAGAGATGAGCGAGGAAGACAGAAAGAAAGCGGGTTTAGTAATTACTCATTATTAATCGTGATTCTGCCAAATCATGAGCATAACTGACTGTCAGGAACGACGTACCACTGAGATCCAGGAACAGGACAGGGATGTGCGTTTCCATTCCAGGGACAGGAACCCTGTGGAGAAACAGCACCGTACTTCAGCCCCCCTGACTGAACACCTGCTCCATGATACAGAGCGGCTGAGAGCTCCCTCCGCTCATCCTGACTAGACAAGCAATTAACACCCAACTGAGTGGATCTGAGGAGCAGAAAACAGTGGAGGTCTAGCTTCTCTCTAACTGCCGAACTTGACTTTTACCTGAATTTGCTGTCAACTATTTAAGGTTGTGATCACTGTAATAGTAGCTTCAGTAGTAGTAGGTTCATTTGCACCATTATTGAAATTCTAACAACAGGTTATAAGGTAGCTCCAGTGTGACAAGGAAGCATTGTGTTCTTACAGCAAACCTTTGCTAGAATCAAATAACAAATAAAAATGTCTGTAAAGATGAATTTTCACACCTCTCGACCGGTGCTCCTGGTATGCCGCTGCCAGCTGATGGCACCACAGAAACAGGCGTCTAGCACACGGCCCCGTCCTCGAGTGGAGGGTCGCGCAGGCGACGCATCAGCAGCTCGGGAGCTCTCGGCTCAAGCGTCAAGTCTCTGGACTGGTTATCATGAACATAGCAAACACAAACACACAAACGACGACAACACAGCAGCACACAGCACAGCACGAGCACCACGACACAGGTGAGCAAACACAACGAAGGAAAGACCTGCACTAAACGTACACTGACGCACCTTCTCCATACATTATACAGATAACTATTATTATTCATTTTCTTGATTATTCTTTATCTGATATTGGATACACCACATCCTGCCATATCCTCATCAGAGAAATATTCCTTTTCATGTTCTCACATTGATTTCAACCCTATTCCTTCCCCAGCCCTTCTCCATACTGGATATAGTATCTTAGGATTACTGTCAGCTAAACTGTAATCAGTTAGTAATTACTTCCATGCTTTCCATTCATCCATGGGGCTATGCTATTGGAAATGCTAAAAAAGAATCTAAATTTGCTTCATTGTCTCTTTATATTAATGGAGACATCGCTGCCACTTGGTTATGACAATTGAAAGAAGAAAAGCAGCATTTGTGCTGTAAAATCATACACTGGGGAACACAATATGAGAAAAGAAGCATGAAGTACCAGCAGTGAGAGGAAATGACATGCTGCCATAAAAAAAGTACACGCTGACAAGAAAATGGATGACTGGAAATATTGCTGCTATCACTCATTTTTTCAGAGTTGTGTTGAGAAATGCCTCCTGACTGCACCTGGTTTGCAAACTATCTTCTGTAGCTGCTGGTCCAGATACTCCTGCCTCTGAGTTAGAATGTCCAGCCACTGTTCCCTCATCCTCTCCAGGTCCACCTCCTACACACACACACACACACACACACACACACACACAGGCAGAGGTACACATACACATCAGTTGTACAGAAAAACGTACTGTTTACATAAGATAGGACACATTTAGCTACATACTTGCCATTTTTCTCTGTTATTGTGGAAATACGATGCATCTTTATCATTTATCGTCTACTTACTTGGTAGCTGTCCATGTCTTCATCCTCAGCCTGAAATTAAATTGACAGAGAAACAGTTAAAGTCAAACATTAAACCAAACATCAAGGCCATTTCATTTCCATAAAATTCCAACAAATTTGTATTTTCTTGATTGGATTTCCTCCTCACCCATTGTGATTCGCTGCCTTTGGAGGGACGCGTCTGTCGGACCTTGACGTCTCCGATGGACACGGAGAGGATGGAGGCGGTGATGAGGGGCATGGTGCCTGAGTCCGGTACTGAACGCACCTCCACCTGGACCCGACGGGACTGACCCTGGAGGTACACATTTACACGAGAGGATAGTTTTGGAAAGAGAGGATAGTCACTTCTTTAAATGTACTCCCACATACTCATGAAGCCAGACATAAGAACAGTATGTTCATCAGTTAACAGTGACACCTTAATAAACTGCTAATATTCTGGTCTCAGGTTATTCATTTTCTGCAAACAAACTCGGACCCGTGATACCTGTCGGAGCTGGAAGATTCCTCCTGTGCGTACGTCTTTAGCAGGAAGGACCTCTACAGCTGTGAACTCTCCTGCCTCGTTCAGCTCCATCAGCTGCACCCACAACTCCAGCCGGCGAGTCACCTCGCTCCACCTGCAGGTGCAGCACGCATAGGATCAGAGCTTTACATTATATTAACACACACCTTTATATGTTAGACACATAATATGTTTTAGAAATAGGCCTATTGGTCAGTTCTATTATTAGGATGAAACATTTTAGCATCACTGATAGTATGAGACAGAAATACATTGAGGATACAACATTATCATTCATTATTACCTTATAGCTATTGTCCCATTATGACGGATAGAAAAAAAAGTCTAGTGAAGAAATACATTTGAAATGAGCAGAATTGAAATTGCAGCTCAATAAACGTTAAAATAACAAACTGACAAAATAATAAATGAGTACATATCATACACAGTACTTCCAATGCCTCACTTTCTCACTTTTTTAGAAAACTGCATGCTTGTGTGTGTTTGTGTCACTGCACCTTTCTCTGAGGGACCGGGTCTTGGCTTGAATCACTCCCAGGTCCCACAGTGCCAGGTTCCTGCGGTGGTTGGCCTGCTTGTGGCCGTACACTTCAATAGCCACCGCCCCCTCAGCCAAAGATTCCACAAACTCCTCCGACACTGTCACCGACAACTCCTGATAAGTTATTAAAATGAGACAGAAATATTGTTGAATAAACTAGCAAACAAACAAATCAGATTTGTTGTTGTTTTTGTTTTGAAATTGGTGAAATATGAGTGTGGAGAACACTATGGTAAAGGTTGTGGGCTGATTTGGTGTGTGTGTGTGTGTTTGTGGGTCATGGAAAATTCCACCGGGGGTGTTACCTTGGCGCTGTCGAAGACCACAGTGCACTGAGGGTCTCTGGAGGCGGAGGACGAGCTGGACGGCGCCACCTCTGGAGCGATGAACACCGGCTCCTCCTGCCCCCAGAAATGGTACTGACAGAAGACAAAGTTGGACAGGTGGCGAGGAAGACCACTGGCCTGGAGGATTTTCACCTGAGAGCGAGAGGATATGAGGAGATGATGTTGAACAAACACGGTGATTTGTCACTCAGAGAGAGAGTGTTGTTTTTTAGTTCCGAACAAGGTCGCTTTAGAGACGTGTCTGTTAAACTTGATTTTAGTTTGGCTCTCTACTAAAGTCAAAAATGATTTCTACACACAGGGGAAATGCCTTAGGTCAACATGTAAGAATTTGTAGCAAAGACCTCCTGACACTGTTTTTATTTCATTTCATCACAAGAAAAACAGAAGCAAGAGACAACTGGATACAAAGCCAGCCCAGAGTTAATTAAACTTGTGACATTTCACAGTACAGTGAGCTGGAGAAACTCTCAACAGAGTGAAGACACAACAATGTGACTGCCTGCCAGATCCATTATCAATCTGGAACTATTTTCCCACTGGCAACACTGTCACACTCATTTATACTGAGCAGCTGCTGCATGTAGGATCCTGGCTTATATGATTCAAATTATCAGGTGGGGTTTCCCTGAATATCTTCCTGGATTTGGCTCATTTCTAACTCTTGTGATGAACAGATGAATCAGGCTTGTTTCTCACCACACAGTCCAGCTTGCGCTCCTGTTGGTCTCCATCTGTGATGTTCTGCTGAGCGTCAGACAGTCTTGTTGGACCTTCCTCCTCAGAGCCCTCTGTACCCCGCCACACCTCCACATGCAGCCGACCTGCCACCTGATGCACACACACACACACACTTCTGTTAGTCACTTTGGCAGGAAGCTAGCATATATATTATTATATATAATATTACTTTATTTAGTTTTTTCTCTGGTTTAATTTTGTAACCAAGAAATTAAGTTTATTGGTAACAAAATAAATGTAGTGACCAAACTGAGAGTATCTTTGTCACTTATAAACAATGAATCCATAAAGATACACTAATGTCATTGTCATACTGTTGGCAAGGGTGTAATGGTAAACTGTAGTTTACTCACCTTGTTTGATTGATACAACTGAGTAAACTCTCAACCTCATATCAAGTGGATAGACTTTGTTTACCTGGCCCGACTGTAGGCCTCATAATCAAAGTAATGAAAAAATACTTGAATGAATACGTGAATAATAAAAATGTAATAATCTTTTTTTTGGTATTAAGTAAAAATATCTACTCAGCATTTGCTGGATACAGCTTTACAAAGTGTTTCTTAACTTTTCTCCCCCTTTTATAAATAGTTTAGAGTTTAGAACATTAGCATTTATTCTCCACTATATTCATGAGCTCTCTAACTGTGCCTGTGTGTTACTGGGCAGGTAGTGTACAGTGGGGTTTTTAGAACGTTTTCATTGAAACCACCTGCTGATGAGAGCGGTGAGACTGAACCAAAACAGAAAAGTTTGGGGGCTGTCCATAGACCTTTTTCACAGCAGCCATGAAATAACTGAAATAATCACCCAGCGGGCTCCTACCTCTCCCTTCTGGTTGATGATGGGCACTGCATATTGCAGCTTGACGTCGTAAAACAGGCAGGCCAGGAAAACGTTGGCCACACCGATCAGACTGTGGTTCTCCTGTTCATCGAAGAACGGGTCGGCGCGCTTGAAATAGGACCGCATCACCTGGGTAGACACAGAATGAATGAATGAATGATGATGAATACATCACTTGTTGGACTTCAGGGTCTTCCTGAACGTCTGCTCTAAATCTCTAATTATTTCTCTTAAGTAAACTGAGTTTACCACATTAGCCCATATTTTATCTGCATATTCTTAAGATCACTCACAGGGTTGTCTTCATCGAAGTCCTTCCACTCCTGGTAGAGCTCCCTCATGTCCACCAACCTGTTCTCCATCTTTTCCAGGGCCCAGATCTGCTTCCCTTTACCTTTACGACGGACCTGGATGGCCGGCTCACTCAATACTGCATCACGCTGAGAAGAGGGGGAGAGAGAAAAGTGCTTTTAATACATGTTGGCTTGAACCTAAAGAGAATGCAAACAGTACATTATGCGTACTACATCACTTATATTACTGCCATCCATTTTCCAAACCACACTGTGGGAGGTTTCTCAGTAACTGAAAGTGTTTTTACTTCCTTCTAGGCAGAAATAGGTTTACAATAATTTCCCTTTGCCAGAGGTGCAGCAGTGGCTGCGAGAAAGCAATTAAGCCACTTTAAAACCTTTAGCGCCTGATTGCAGCATTTGCATCTAAAGTCAGAGCCCTCCTCTCAGTCAAAACTTGGTTAAATCTGAATACCCTGACATGACATATATTTAATACAGTGTGATTTTCTTTCCTATCCTATTCCTTCTGAATGCATTTCCTCTAATGCGCATAAACATCCATACATCCACTCAAAAAGAAAAAAAGAAAAACACATTTTTTATAACTACAGAACTTCCTTGAGAATCATCACATTTTAAGTTTCTTCAGTATCAAAGTAAACAAGTGGTAGTTGTCTGTACATCCATGGGTACCCAGCAAACAGGAACTGCTTATAGCTAATTTGGCATATTTTGACTAGTGCCAAACTTTGAAAACTTCACTACTGTATGAAAATCAATTTGCACAGACCTACGCACCTTGAACTTGCAAATACAATCTGTCAATCAAAGACAGTGTCTGGTGACTTTAGGTTTCTGTAATGCCCTTTTTAAAAACATTTTCTCTCTCTTAGACACACACACACACACACAAAGCCTACCTTCCTGTTGGCATCCAGGTTGGCAGCAGGTATCTGCAGAGTGACCAGGTACTCTGTCCTCTTGTTAAGCTCCTCGGCTATAAAGCCAGCCTCCTGTGCCAGCAGGTTGGCCCGAACTATCTGCTCCTTCAGACGCCGCAGGCTGCGAGTCATCATTGCTTCTCTGAACCGCACAAACACACATACTCGAGTTTTACAAAATCTTTAGACTTAACTGCCAACAAGGATTAGTAAAGTTTAACATCAGCTCATTGTATCTCACCTGTCCTCGCTCCAGCGCCGCATGCGTTTGTGGGAGATGGGTGCCGTTACAGCAGCTGCAGCGCCGGGCAGCAGGCCCGTAGGGTCCAGGAGGTGGGAGGGTTTCTCGGGAGTAAGCCGCCGACGGAGCTGCTGCAGCTCCTGTTCGTACATCTGCCTCTGTCGCTCCAGGGCGCAGCGTTTCTCCTCCTCGTGCTGCCTCTCCAGGGTCTGTAACACTGACTGCAAGGGGTCTGAGGTGGAGGAGGAGCCGCCAGAGGGTGGATGGATGGAAGAGAGAAGAGGAGGAAAGAGAGGAGGTTTATATTTCAGTATTCTTTCTTATACAATGAAAATTTCATCCATAAGAACGGTTCATCCTATAATCTAAATTCTGTCATTGTTTAGTCTCCCCCAAATAAGCTGGGACTGCTTCACAGGACTGCACTTGCTGTTGGTCCAAAAGTCCAATATTTACCTCATCATCTCTACTTTGGCAAGCAGAGTGTTCTGTCTGAGCACTGCAGGCTTTACACAGCCAGAACAGGGTGGGAAATATAGGAGATTATGGGGTAAATATTGAACTAGTGGACCCACATTGGAACCATTTGGGGTCTAAATATTTGGATTATACTGCACAAGCTGCTTGGAGTAACTTGATGGACACCCAGTGCTTTTGATAAAGCTGTATAAAAACTGGTCTGGTTACTTTAAAGGACAAAGCTATTTTCTATTATCCTTAAACGAAAAAAGGACCCAACCAAACAATGGATCGATCTTGTTAACAACTACAGCCTGTGTATCCAAAGCCTGTGTGCCAGAGAGCTCCACTGTCACTGTTGCACTGGTTGACATGTTCCTTCACTATAATGAACACACATACTGTAGTATGTTGTGAATCATTGCAGCATACACTGTCCATCATCAAGTCATATTGAAGTCATACTCTTGCTTAAAAATGTAGACATTGTTAGTTTGGGACTTTTCCTGGACTTAGTTCCCAGTAGTAGTCCTTCAGTCATTTGTGAAAATGCTGGCAGAGTTCCTTGGCTGTCCATGAGCGCTTTCAATGACAGATCCCACAGACAGATATGATGTAGAGGGGTTAAAGAGGTCAGAATAACACCAGCTCCACTCCCATGTCAAGTATTTTTAGACCATGTAAATAGGACTGCGCAATATGGTAAACAAATAACATTGCCATTATTTTGAAAGATATTTTGTCTGCAGTATGATTCACGATTAGTGGGAATGATCATTTATGCATTACATTTTTCAACTGCACTGAAGAAACTATTTAAATATGTTTGGGTCTGTACCAAACAAACACGTTTTCTTAACGCTGGAGAACAAGGGGGTCTCAGCAGCACTACAATACTTCATTATAATCCTATTGTACGCACATTTTGCACATGGCAGTATTGCAGTTTCTGTAATATTTAGATCAATTGTGCTGCCCTACATGCAAACAATCAAAAAAAACACACAATATTTAGCATTTATCGTATTTGGCAGTCTAGACAGTTAAGAGTTTAAAATGTGACATCAGGACTACTTTACAGGTGCCTGGATGGATAATCAAACCAAAATAGATGGAAATTGTAATTTGAGGTACAAAGGAATGTAAAATAAAAGCACAGTTTCTTAACTTTCAAGATCCCTTTTCTCAGAATTTCAGCTCTTATGACACAACAAGTTAGCAGTTAACTGTGTAAAAAAGCTGATTAATGCCTGTCATTATTCACCACAGCTGCCAATCTAAAAACACATTGTGAGGAAGCTCCTCGGCTACAACACATCAGGATGTTTTGTTCTGTTATATTAAATAAACATGGGTTCATCTTATTTCTTGATGTTGTGCACCTTCATCATTGTTTGACATTTGAGTCTGACTCACCATTGTTGCCCATGCCTTTCATCATGACTTCGGCCTGGGCAAACTCATAGCCGAAGCTCAGCTCGCTCGACACGTCGCTGGATGCATCCAAGTCCACCTCCAGCCGGTCGGTGCTCAAACACGTCTTCATCGCAGCGCCGCCCTCCTCATCCTCACCTCCTGCGTGGACCATATGCCTCGGCAGGCTGATCCTATGTGTGTGTGCATGAGTAGGTGGTGGTGGTGAAAGAAACAGGAAGTGTGATGTGGCAAAAAGAAGAGGAAGAGACACAATGACGAGCTTGTGACCACATGTAAATAAACGCTGCAGAAACATGTTAGTGTTAGAAATCAGACAGCACACAGAGGCAGATTCAAAGTCAACGCTCTGTAGGTGAAACCGACCTGAAGAAGTGGTTGTTTCCCCACAGGATTCGGTCACCGTGGTGAATCTGGACTGGACTGGTGACTGCAGCACCGTTCACACATGTCCTACAGGTGATAAAAAAAGATTCATCCAACATTTGAGAAGAGAAGATGATACTGTAGTCAACTGAAAAACATGTCCTTGGGCCCTGTGCCAGTGTCAATGCAAGCTTCAGATTCATTTCTATGCAAATTATGTTCAATATAATACTGTATATCTTTATAGATTTTTTAAACTGCCATTTTGTCTGTATTGGTCAGCACAGTGGACAGCAACAGGTTGGCGCACGTTGCTGTAACTGGATACCTTTTCGTTCTTGACCGGATTGTATTAGTAGCACTGAATATCAAAGCTAAGCTAGCGTTTGAGTTCAGATTTGTCTTCTTTTTTCAATTTATTCTTTAATTAGATACTTCCTGTTTTGGCATATTTTTAATTTATCAAATTAAGGTATCAAAAAAAGTATCTTTTTGGTATCAGTACAGAAACTCAAGGTACCCTCGTCACTGGTAAGCGGTTTTGAAATTTGTTGATATTCCCAAACTTTTCCTGAGTTTTACTTAAAGCAGCAGTTTTTGGCCCCCACTTGGGGGCAGCAGAACAAGCTGTGACCACTACACTGACATATACTATACACCAATCAGCCATAACATTATGGCCACCTGGGCACCCTGGTGGTCAGAATGCTATGCAGCCCCATACAAACAAACTATGATGCACTGTGTGTTCTGACACCTTTCTATCAGAACCAGCATTTAACATAAGCTCACGGTCATTGCAACCCTTTTCACAAAAACTAAAATTAAGGGTTTATTTTGACCAAACCAGTGTTTTTGATTGTTGGAGAGACTAATAAAAGCGGTTTTGGTGAATTTTATTTTCTCTCTGTCCCATTGTTTTGGCCTGAGATGCTGGTGCTCTAGTGTGACGTCCAGTGGCAAGTGAATTTAAAGTCCTTAAAGACTCCTCTTACGTTTTTAAGATTACCCAGTGCTGCCCTTTAAGAGCCTTGCCGTTGTTAACAAAGCACTTTTTATCCTCTAGTGTTGGGTGTTCTGAGCAGTTCTCAGTGCTGATGAAAACTTATGAGAAAGTAACACAGTGGTGCACAGAGAGGTTACAGTGTTACAGTGATCTATCAAACACGGCTTGCTGTATTGTTGATTCAGGTTGAGAACCTACCGGGCGTTGCGGTGAGGGCTGAGCATCACGCCGTTGCTCTCGGTAATGTCGATGACGCAGTGCTCAGCTTGGATGGCCATCCCGCACAGCTGGATGTCCTGTGAGTTTGCTGAGCCCACACGCGTGTGCTCCTGGGCACGGCACACAGACAGGGGAGGTGGTCACAAAATGCACCGGTGCAGAACATGTGTGCATGGTAAACAGCACCGGGCTGTATGTGCGTGTGTGTGTCCGGTACCTTCAGGTAGTACACCAGCAGCTCGTTGAGGGCAGGGTCAGCGTTAAGGTTGACCAGGAAACACTTGTCATCCACCACTCGGATTCCAGAGGACTGCAGGGAAATGCCCAGATTCTCCAGCTGCCTCTGACGCTCCTACAGGCAAACAGATTGCACATTTAATGCATTCATTGATTAGTTGATTATTCCAACCTTTAGCTGCTTGATGAAGGAAATGGTAAAGAGAAGGAGTGCAGTTAAGAACACTCCGAACTGAATAAAACTCAGTGAATGAGTTTAACTTGAAACAAGTCACACTGAATGAACAGAAACAAAATCAATTGACAATGACTCACATTTTAATTTCACCTCCTCAGTTTGGTTAAATGTGTCTATTAAGTCTACTTGTTTCAGTGCAAGAAATAGACAAAAAAGTTAATGAAGTTCTGTTAAGTATAACAAGATTAAGAGGGGATGTGGAGAGTGTGTGTTACCTGAGCAATAGCCTCAGTCTTCCTGAGTTTCTCCTCCCAGGTGACTGTCATTTCTTGAATCAGTTTCTCAGACTCCTCCAGCCGCTCCTTCAGCTCGGGGGCCTTCATAGACTGAGAGAGAGACAGAAGCTGTGTTACTCTCCACATATCACTGGGTTATTTGGAAAAAACTTCTAGAGGTTAAACCCGGCTGCAGTAATCCGAACCTCGGCCTCTGTGAGCTGCTCCCTCAGTTTCTCCACTTCCTCACGGAGCTCTCTGATGATCCTGGCGTTGGGGTCTTCGTTGACGACAGCGTGGTTGACGATGCTCTTGGCCCTGTCGGCGTAACGCAGGGTGGACAGCGTCTCGTCATAGTTGTCTGCAGCGGGGCTGATGGTGGCGACCATGGCTGTGCGGCTGTTCCCTCCCAGGCTGTCCTGCAGGTAGTAACACAGCTTTAATCTTAGAGAAGGTTCCAAAACCATGTTTCAACAGGTAAAATGTATCTACTTTTAAAAACCATTATCAATGTTTCATTTTGTAGTTGTTACAGCAAGATCATTAACATTAACTTCATTAACCTGATACGTTTTTAAATTCAGATTGGATTCAAGACCCTGCAGTCGACACTGTGCAAAACAAAGAAAATCCACTACTTTGGTTTAGAGAAGGAACTACAAAATGTGGATAATTTAGGATTAGGCTTCCTGCAAGTTGCAGAAAGCTACATTTAACACTATTACAATGCTACCATGGAACCAAATTAAAGACTAATTTAAAAACCTATAATTAAAAACTCAAAGCTGGCAAAAGGAGCTTTTTTCCAACAGAGCAGAGCAAATGCAAATAATCAGCAGAGCCTCGAAACTAAATAGGCAGAATAAAAAAAGCACACCAGAAAATTAATTACTTTCTTTTATGTTTCTTTATATTTAAAAAATGTATATTGTACCAGTACCCTGTTGTGTAATAAAGTGGGAGTGGGCGTGCAGTGCAAAAAAAGAACTGGAGAGGCACAGAAATCAGTGTCCTGCTTGTCTGTGGTGAAATCTGTATGAACAAGGTTTGTTATTTCCATCTGTGTACCTTGAGCAGCCAGGTGAGCACAGAGTCTCTGTAGGGAACAAACTTGTTCTTGTTCTTCCCTGCTCCCTGGTCAGCCAAGGCCGAGATAACTAAACCCAGGGTGCTGAGAGACCTGGAGGGAGGGATGAAGAGAAGACCACAAATCATCAAAGCAATCTCTGCCTGAAAAAGGCTGATAAGATTTCAGTCAAGCAAACAGGGCTGCAGTGTAAATATGTGAAATGCTGTTCCTTTTGCAAAGGTAATATGCGAGGGAAATAACATCCCGTTTAGCAAAAAATATGAGCAAAAAAAAGACCAAAACCAATGACCGTAGCAAGATCAAGAATCAAAATCAAAAGTGAGCGTAGACGGAAAACAAACCCAATCCCAGCCCTTTGCTTGGTCACGTCATTTAGTTCTCAGAAGTAAAAACTGGACTGCTGAGGGTCTTTCATGTCATGGCACATACCATATATTTATTTGATTTGATTTTAACTCACTTATTGATGTTGCTCCCTTCTTTCAGCCGTTCCCCCGCTGCTCCAGTCTTGGCTGCCCGTTCGCTGCCGGCCAGATCCACGAGGCTCAGCTTGCTCACCTTCTCTCCACTCGTCTGGAGAGCAGTACACAGGGAAATATACATGAAGGCAGGGAAACATTACTGAAGGTCAGATGCAATTGTGGAGATTTAAAGATGACCTTAAGAGATTCATTGGGCATTGCTGGGGAAGTGCTGACTAAACGATAAAACATGACATAATACTGGATTTCAGGTCAATTATAAACAGAAGACACAAGATCGTTTCCAGTTCAACAGAAAACCCATACAGAATGCAAAACAAAAATAGTGCTGAAATGACCACAATTACTGCCTTTATCATTTATACAGGTATCTTAAAGGATTATTGTGGAAAAGTAAAAGGATTGTCGTGATCCTGTGAAGCGTCAATAGTTGATAATGGGTGTATGGGTGTGTGTGTGTCTTACCCCGGACTGTAGGTCCTTGAGTGTGTGTGTGAGGATGATGTTGAACACGGCGTGGGACCTGCTGCTCTCTTCATTCATATTTGTTGCTGCAACCGTACGAGATTTATTTCCCTCCGACATCAGAGACTCTATGTCCTGTCAGAGACGCCACAAACAAACACACGTCTCGTCTCTACTTTATGAAATAACTCGTTTCCCTTGGCAACACAACGTGACAGAAGCAAAAGAAAAACAGATGGGAAATTAGACGTAGCTCATGGGGGTACCTTGTAGCTGGCCACAGCCAGGCGAGACAGGCCATCAACATAAGGCCCAAAAACGTTGTGCTCTCTCACTCTCAGCGCTTGGCGATTTCTACGGACAGAAGGAGGTGGTTATTCATTTTATATCCTTCAGTTCTATTCCACCCAACCCAAATGCAAACATGAGAAAATAAACTGGACAGCTGTGTTCCACCCTTCCTGAATTAATAAATAAAACTTGCAATCCCGCCTTGCCGATCAGTCAAGTTGCAGTTTACATCAGTGTCTGTCCAGACTCTTATAATATTCACTGTATTTTTTGGCAAAATCACTATAGTGACATGTATGATTCCAGTGAATAATTCCCAGTGAGAAACATACCTTTTCCCCTTAGAGACTATTTTTTTTACAGACAGATAGAGAGCTTCTTCACATGGTGCACATAAAAACAGTCTTAAGATCAAGACTGAGAACCATTTAATGTTATTTAAGGTTCACTGCACTGTACCAGACTGAAATATGAAGACTCACATGACTGCAAAAAGAAAGAAAGACTTAAGCGCAGGTCGTCAGACCCATGACATTTTGCATTATATTCTAAAATTTCTGTTTGAAAAGTTTCTAACAAAGACAGTAGTTTTAATTGGTTTCCAGTTATCAATTCTATTCAAAAACTAGATTTGCAGTAAAGTCTAACAGCAGTGTTCCCAACCCTTTTCCTAAACATCTGACATACCTGAAATATTTTATGGATATTTCATATTATACTTAATGCACAACAACAACAAACAGCACAGAACAACTGATAAACTGTACAATGAACCCAAATAGTAAACACAATAACTGCAGGGCTTTTGTGTAAATTTAGATTTGGATGGAAATTGGGAAGTTTTGGCAGATGATTTCCTGTGAATACAGAGATAAGTAACTTTTTATGGGAACTTTTTGTACAATCCTCTGTATTATGAATTTTTTAAACAATCGTACATACTTGAATTTAGTTTAGTTTTCTTGTCATTGTTCTATTTTAGCTCTTTGGTTGTTTTAACTGCATACTTTTCTAATGCAGGATGAAGAGTGAAGGCTCTGTGAATATAACTTGTGTTCTGATCTTAAATCATAATATCAACTTTAACTTCTTCTTCACAGAAATGAACAAAATGCTGAGATTTAGGTCTTCTAAAGTTTTCTTGCACTCCTTAAAATCAAGAAGGCCCTGCGACCCCTAGGTTGGGATCCACTATTCAATGGCATAGAATACCAAATATATGTATTTTCTTAAAGAACACAGGATTGTGCATATGCACTGTTTTAAAATCAAGTCAGTTCCTCACCCTTTGGGGTCGAGCAGGTCTCGGACCTTCTCGTTGTAAATCTCCATGTAGGAGACCTCCACGGTGAAGCTCTCTCCCTCCCGGGCCTCCTTCACGGTCCTGCTGAACAGGGAGCTGCAGAGCCGAGGGATCAGACCAGGCTGCTCCGCTGAGCCCATCATGGTGTACGACTTCCCAGAGCCTGGACACGGTTATAGTTTACAGAATCAAGATATAAAGCGGAAAACCAACCAAGCAATGTTAAAGAAACAGGAAGGAAGTAGGAAATAGTATAAGATTGAGTGTGCTCCAACAGTTGCTCACATAGGTCCCATTTAAAACACCAAATGCAAAGACTGTAACATATATTAAAAAATGTCTGTCAGACATAACAGGTTTCCGTGATTTGGAGTGGTGGAAGTGAGAGAGAAAAAGACTAAATCAGGCAGTAAATTAATACACAACTGGAGAGTGCTGCTAATGATTCTGCTGTACGCATTGACTATAAATGCAGACCCCAACACCTCCTAAGCTTTCATGTAAATTCAATAAATTAACACTTTGGAATAAGCATGAAAAATAAAGTGTCTGAGAGGCAGAGATCCGGATGTGTTAGCAGAGACACCCTCAATTAAAAAGCTAATTAAACTGCTTATTGAGACACATTTTCAGTCTGGAAATGTGATGAGATTCACATTATGGACCTCAAAGTGAACGGCAGCGTGGTTTTGTGGGTTGTTGAAGTAAAAAAACTATCCCACAAGACACAAATTGAGCGAGTACATCGGTTGAAACGAGCATCCTGTACAGATTCTGTACTTACAGTATGCAGTGTAAGTGCAAGTATTATCAGAGTAAAATGTGTCAATAGTTTTCTCATACAAATATCTTTTTTTTTTAACTTCAACCCATATGCATTTCAGGCTTAAATTAACAAATTCTGCAACTCACACAACCTAATGGATATATAGATACAGATGTTGTCAAAGGTAGACTGATAGATACATACTTTGCTCTACTGCTTAGAGAGCCAAGTTTAATAATTGCAGACAGCAGTCTGCAGTGTGTTCTCACTCATTACACTCAACTCCAAATGTGCTCCTAATATGTCTGTGTGTATGTGGGGAGAACAAATGTAGGTCATTCTGGAAAATGAAGGTGTGTCAAATGAGATGATGTGATATAATATGTAATAGTCACTGACAGCACACCTTCATTGTGATGGTTCCACAATCCAGGCTGTAAACCTGAGAAAATTATGCTAGCTAATTCTGATTCATCTTTTAAATCCCTCCTAAAACGTGCTTTTATAGTCAGGCTTTTATGTGAATTAACAACAAGCCCTCAGGATGACAAAACCTTGTCCAGTGAACAAACTAGTCAGTCTTGGATTTTGTTTGCAAGATTAGATTCACTTATTCACACATATTCTGACAGCAGGACCCTAAACTGCAATATGCATTCATTGTAAATACCCATTCTAAAGTTATAAGGGTTATAACGAGTAGGCGTAGTCGAACAGTTTTGACTTTTAATCTTGCTAGAAAAGGCCTGGCTCTATCTAGAAATGGCTTACACCTTGATAAGGTCAACACACCTTGGTGACCTTTTCAGTGCTTCTGCCTCTAACAAAGCAATGAATATCCTATTAGGCTGTAAAAGCTTGAGAATTAATAGACCTTTCTCACAGCGTTTGGACTTGTCATAGCAGGAAAAGCACAGGTGTTAACTAATAATGTCATCGATAGCTCGATCCTATTTAAATGTTGCAGGTTGAAATGCCAATTAGCACAATAATAAGACCATGGAACTGGCTCCCCTGAATGGAATGCAGCCCGTACTTATATTATTTGTTAATGTTCACTGTGAGAGAGGTCTGTTAGACGGTCAGCAGCCGCCACAGAGGCAAATGTCAGCTTACAACAAAGTTATACTATACACTCAGTTGGTACACTACCCTGATTTATATGATGGACAGAATATTAGAAATACAGCTCAGTATAGTGTAGTGTAATTCATCATATACTCTCAAATAATTTACAGAGAGAACCTTTATTTAGGACAGTCTAACATTAGAGACAGGCCTATATTTCTAATATCCTCGTTCCCCACTTAAAGCAAATTCAAACCCTCATCTATGTTTAACTTTTGTCTTGATAAATTAAGTACAATTTCTTCAAAACTAATTCTATCAGTACAGCAAGAGTCGTGTCAGGTGTTCCTCTTTGCATTTTTCCATGAACGATGAAGAAAACTCAGCACTTCCTCTAGTATGTTCCCATTAGAAGTCTTGCAGCCTCCCTTTTAAAGGTAGGATGGTGAAAAAAAACAACAGAAAAGTGTTTTGTTGAGGGAGTTTAACATCGATCAAGAGCACGGCAAAGAAGAAAAGACTGGAATTAATTAGAGTATGAAAACATTAGTAGTGTTAAAAATAGAAGCTCGGGGCAGCAGAGTGGTGAATATAGCATGACTCTGTTGATGAAAAGAACTGCAGGTGTGATTGCACCTTCACTGAACTTAATATTCCGTGAGTATAACAACACTGCAGTGCTACTATTATACTGTACTTGTAGAAATATTACCAAGGGGCCGTAACTCTAATGTTTGCATCTCACCTGTCTGTCCATAAGCAAAGATGCAGGCGTTGTAGCCCATGAAGGCGTTGTCCAGCAGACTCTCCCCAAGGCACTGGAACACCACATCCTGACCTGCACCGACATCAGAAAACACACTTTTATGTCTCAAAGTACGGACAACTTTGAAGATAACTTTAAAAAGACAGACCATGAATACAGAAACAACTCTTTCTTTATATACAGTCATGACTTACTGGTCTCTGTTTTTCTATGCAAGACAAGACTCACAGCCCAGAATAGACACGGTGGGCGTTTTGTTCAGATTCAATACATCCGACACAGGCCGCTGAACTTTTTATACCCCTCACATTGCTAAGAAACCCCCTGGCAATGGTTTTGTTTTATCCCCTTACAATGTATAGGGGCACAGAACCGATCTGGAGGTAAACAATGTGTAACTGTTCATCCTGCCCTCCTCAGCACTCCCTTTCTCCCACTCCATAAATAGTTCCGAATATCAGGAAACATTCTGTTGGGAGTTAAGTTTAAGAAATGAGTCACTCGAGCTAAAAACAGAACGCACCGAATCAAGCAGAGTACAAAACACAGTAACACTGTGGCAATGTGCTGACCTGCAAACTTGTCTTTTTGAGATTCATCCATTGACCAGAAGCAGTAGTCATAGGCGAAAACCTGAAGAGAACACACAAGGCAGTGGACTTAAATGTAGAAGAACTAATGCGTCACCAAATCACCACGTTTACAATGTAAAGATTATAGTTAGAGAATTCATTTGTGCAACTTTAATTGGAAATATAATTGAATTCAGAGTTTAATTCAGTACTCACCTTTGGCTGACTCCTGAGGGCAACAGATGGAAGAAGAAATAAAAATATCAGTTAACAATTGTTGTTAAAAACCGACATGAACATGTCAACCAACCTAAAAACTATTTTAACGCATACTGTCTGTCTAACACAGGCCTGTGGATTTACACAGCAGAGGAAACATAGCAAGAACCTTGTCAAGGCAAGAACATGTGAAAATATTTGACAGTTTGGTCCATGTATAACACACTTTTTAAGATTCAGCTCCAAGCAAAGGAACCTTTGCAGGGAAAGCAAAGCAGAGCTAAGTTCAGCCAACTTTCACTTTCACACAGTTACACACAATCACACCTGGAGGCTGGAGGCCCAGGTAGTGGTTGTTAAAGTAAGGTAAGAGTCACTTCTTTTTCATTTTTCCCACCAACATTTTCCCAGCCAGTCTGGGGAGTCTTGGACCATCGACCCTTTGGCCACTAGACTGCTTCTCTAACCTGCAGGTCAGTGGTTCCCAACCCTGGGGTCACAAACTAAGTTTAGTTGGTTGTTAGATGGCTCTGGGATAAGAAAAAAAAAACACATTTCTATAATAAAAATATATTACAACTACAAAAATGTCAACTTTGCAGATTAAAGTCAATCAGAAATACTTAACAGTTGTCTGCCTCTAGGCATCCTCTTATAATGAACTAAATGAAGCAAACGAAGAGGAGAAAAACTGGTTGAACTGTTTACTATTTACTGGGCCCTCCGCCAGATGTACTGACGGATTAAGATGAAGGGACATTTCTTGTTGGGAAGGCAAAGAGCTCAGTCAAAAGTAAGGATGTCCTACTCATGAGTCAAAGTCTATTTATTTCTATTTCTTTATATTCTATTTTTGCTAAATTTTTCTTGCATAACACACTTGCCAGAATAATGCTCCAGCCTGCTCAGACACTGTGTGTTTCTCTGGATGAGTACTGAACCAAATCAATAACATGTCAATGCTGTGACTTGCTTTAACAGATACTTGACGTTCATTGACTGCTCTGTGGCAGTTCAGAAAAGTACAGCAAACAACACTGCAGGGCAGGAACAGCAGAGCTAGCAAATACTGAAAATCTGACACGACTCCAGGTCAAAGTCAGTGGAGAGTTTCAAGGATACGGAGTCAAAGGTGTTTTAATCGTAGCGGAGCTTAAAAATCTGTCAAGGTGACTAATCCTCTTTGGCTCATTGCGAATGAAGTGGGGAATGTGACCTTCAGCAGCACTAAGAATCTCAGAGCCTTCTGGTGTCCCTGAGACCAAGGACTGCACTAAATCTCTGCGTTCTCACCAGAGCACTTTAAAGCACACTCACTGCGTTTTAGGTTCATCCCAGGGCGGCCAACAATAGTATCCAATGCAACACAATGTCGGCAAACACATCACCACATTCCAGCGAGCAAACGTCAAATTTAATTATCAAACATGTTCTATGCTCCAGTGCAGCTCATGATGCCGTCCATCGTCCATTCACGTTAGAGCAAGTCTGAGCTAGTTCATATTGAAGCTTAAGGCTGGGTTTAACACAAGAAAAAACTGTATTATGTGGTTTAATGATTACGTAGATTCCATAAATATTATGGTTAAAATGGACATTAATGCTTGAAGTGCCCTTCATATCTAGGATGAATGAATCCACAACCATCAGATTTGATTAAACAACTATGTTTCCTATTCTCAGTGCACCACACGCTGAGCAGCACTAGACACACTGCGTCTGTAGAAATATGTATGAGGAAAGGGTCCATTCTGGTGATGAACCCACAATTCCCCTCAGCTCTACAGAGCGTTTTAGCGTCTTTACGTTTACAGTTTACCCGCACACAACTTTATTCTTTTGGTTCACTCTCACTGCTCTCATTAGTGTCGTTTTCAGCCACACCAGGCACCTGTTTCTGGCAACTGTTCACTCTGCGCCCAGCACCATAAGGCAGACTACAACGGCAATTATTAGTCAATTAATCACACATATACATACATGGCGTTTTTATCTTTTAACCATTTCCAAAGATAAGTATAAAAGTTAACCGAGGTTCTTCCTAAAGCTGAGAGAACTGTTATTGGAGCACAGAGCAAAAAGGGGCGGGACTTAGGTCAATTGCACATGAATGCACTATTCTGGCGATCTCTAGTTTCAAACACATTTCCACACAGCCATTCAAAAGGAGGAAACACTTCATCTTTTTGGCAAATCTATGTGAGAAACACAGATTGTTACATTTGTTATGGTAAAATAAATCATACTTAAACATAGGCACCCAGTCTCCAGGGAAGCCCCCTTTGAACTGCGGTACTATACTATACATAACACACAGTCTTCACTAAGGCAGAAATATCAACTTGGGGTTTACAAAAAAAAAAAAAAGCTGCAGATTTAGTCATGGCCACACACATTGGGGGGGGGCTGTAATAAAACAAGGCCTCCCTATGTGAGACTTGGCTGGTCCATGAAAGAGCAACATTAAGTCCTGTCCTCTCCTGGACTGGCAAGGACATTCCTGAGATAACTGGCAGAGACTCGCAGCTCCAAGGAGTCACTAAAGGAGACGGAGGAGGACGGTAGGTCAGCAAGTCTATGACTGACAAACAACACACAGGCCTACACAACACGACTATTTCAGATCGACGCAGCCTGATAATACACAGACCTTCTGGGTGGATGATCACATATTACAGATTCTAATCTGTACACAAAAGTTCTCAAAGTCAGGACATAAAACGAGGAAACAGTCGTGATGCCGTAAACAGATAAAAGTGGGGCTCTTATCAAAGCCAAGTTCAGATAAAAGAGGCTCACGATCATGGTTTCTTTTTCTAAACATTATTCTGCAGGGGCTGATAAATATTCTGCAACAACTCAAGGTCCGTTTATAGCATGTGCAGTAAAATGGGATCAATGAAACTATAGTTTTACAGGCCGGCTCCACAGTTATAAAAGCAAACCCAAGGCTTTATTAATTTGTACCATCTTGAGGGTCTGACAGCCCCCGTTGTAGTCCTGGTTGCAGCTACCAAGGGTGCCGTAACATATTAGCACCCCCTGAGGCTCATGCAGCAGTTCAGTCAAACCTGTCTGGCAGTAAGCTGACTAAGCACAAACCCTGTGGAATTGGCTGTTCAATGACTCCCCTAACAAACAACACTGTTCTGTAACACGGATTACGCTCATAAGAGAATACAGTCTACTGGGAAACTAATCCAGAGGTTCCTTTGTACAGAAACTGATGCTCTCCAGTTAAAAATATTTGCTTACTGGCTGCTCAAAATCCGGTTCACTTCTCCCACTTGTGCTGCTCTGGGATCAGAGTGGGAGAAGTGCTTGTCTGTGCTGCACTGAGCCTGTAAAACCTGTTCACATTGATCCCAAAAGGGGAAGCATACCGCAGCTGAAGCGTGTCGGGGCAGAAGAGACACACACAGATACATGCACACCAAAAAAATGCATAGTATGATAAGTATGAAATATGGGACTGCCTGTCTACAAAGGAACTGATTCTTACTCTCATGTCTGGAGGGGATTGCCCAGAGGCATCTTTACTGAACAAGGTAACCTGAGAAGGGGGTCAAAGCCTCCAGGGAGCTTCTACCTACCAATGCTGCTCTGACTCGCTGGACGGAGGTGAGAGGACAACAGCAAACATATGGAGACATACAACACAGAGTGGAACGCCTTCACTTTACACAACCAATGCACATTTATCACCCAAAACATCTGTCTTTTTTATTTTTTTAACTACTATTTTGATGCATTGCCCTGATGTGAGTTCTGACATCAATATTAAACCAGAGATACATTTCTATGCTGACTGGATGCTTAAGTTGTAACTTTTATTCAGAGTTTTGAATCTGAATCTTGACATCGTCCTCTCCTTTGTGCTTATTCCTTTAAATCCTGGCTCGACTGCCTGAGCAGGACTGAGCTGGAACAGACACACCCTTTGTAAAGAGGGGAGCGATGCAGGAAGGACAGGGAGGGAGAAGGAAGAATGGAAAGGAGTAACAGAAGGAGGATGGGTGGGGTGAGGGTTAGGTGTGAGCTAACCTGATGGGCTGGTTA